TTGTATACCTTTGGTTTCCCCAAACAAGGATATCAATGGTTTGTGGTCTGTATGAAGCTCGGAAATGTTTCCCCATAAATACTGGTGAAACCTCTTAACTCCGAAGATAACGGCTAGCGCTTCCCTGTCCAGTTGTGAGTAGTTCTTCTCCGCCGTCTGTAAGGTGCGCGATGCATATGCTATGGGACGTAAAGAACCATCGTCCATGCGGTGGCACAGGACAGCCCCGACCCCCCAAGGGGACGCGTCGCACTGAAGTATGAGTGGCTTGTTAGAGTCATAATGGACTAACGTTGGTGGCGAAGCAAGAGCTTGTTTTGCTTTATTGAAGACATTTTTTGACGGGAACCCCAACACCACCATGCATTTTTGTGTAACAGCTCATTTAATGGCGATAGAACCGTCGATGCATTAGGCAGGAAACGGCGATAGTGAGATAGCATTCCTAAGAACGAACGGAGTTCATCACAACTCTTTGGCTCTGGGCTTTCTAAAATAGGTTTAACCTTGTCATTTAAAACATGTAAACCGTGTTTATCAAGCCGGTATCCAAGGTAACAAACGGAAGGTGAAAGGAACTCACATTTAGACCTTTTCAATCTGAATCCACTTCGCTCCAAACGCTCGAGCACGACCGCGAGTGTTCGAAGATGCTCTGTATCCGAGCGTCCAGAGATAAGAATATCATCCAGATAAGCACACGCAAAAGGAATGTCCTTCACTAGGTCGTCAATAATTCTCTGAAATATTCCGGGGGCGGAATTAATGCCAAAAGGTAAACGAGTATATTGAAATAGTCCCATGTGCGTGGTGATGGTAGTAAGTTTCCTCGAAGGTTCATCGAGCTCTATCTGCGAGTATGCATGACTCAGATCGAGTTTGGTAAACTTTTCACCACCAGCTAGTGTTGCATACAAGTCATCAATACGTGGCAAGGGGTACCTGACCAGCAAGGATGCTTGATTTATGGTTATCTTGTAGTCACCACAAATCCCTACAGAGCCGTCCGGTTTGGTTACTGGCACAATTGGCGTTCCCCAGTCATAGAAGTGTACAGGAGTAATAATACCTTGAGTCTGTAGGCGGTTTAGTTCCTCTTCAACTTTAGGCCTCATAGCGTATGGTAGTGTGCGCGCCTTAATGAATTTTGGTCGAGCCTCTTCCTTTAGTTTTATCGCAGCCTGAAATTCTTTCAACTTCCCAAGCTCCTCGGAAAAAACAGCTGAATGTTGTTTAAGTAATGTTTCAAGTCCGGAGATCTCGGTGACTAATTTTACCACATTCATTGTATCCGGGAAAGCACGTATCCAGTCTCTTCCAAGCAGATTTGGACGAGCTCCGGGGATCACATATACAGGAAGTGTGCGTATTTTGTCGCCATACTGTGTCTTCACGCAGCATTTACCAAGGACACGTATAGGTTCACCGGTGTATGTACGAAGAACAGAATTGCAAGCGGATAAGTTCGGGAGCGTTTTTACAGCGTTTTCCCGGATTATCGTCACGGATGCTCCTGTATCGATTTCCATCTGTACCTTTTGTCCTTCAATGTAAAGCTCTAGAGTGTATGGCGCCGGTTGCATGCTAGAAACGGAATTAAGCCAAATGGAATGTAATTCAGGGTCGCTACCATCAGACTCGTCCACAGTTTTGATGGGGTTTGCTCCTCGATAAGCCCCACCTGAACGTCGCTTGACCGATCTACACACTCGCGCCAGGTGGCCCACCTTCCCGCAGCTTCGACATACTGTCTTCTGATGCCGGCAGTCGGATGGACAACTGTGCTGCTCACCACAACGATAGCACACAAACAAATTGACGCCAGTGGGTGGCTTTGGTTTTGGTGTAGTGTTAATCAATCGCAGCTCATCTGACGAGTCCTTCAGCGTAAATGTTGCGAGTTGTTGTGTAAGGTGTTCCCTCTGCCGGGCAATCGAGCAGGCCGTCTCCCAGGTCAGTGAACAATCATCTTGTGAAAGGAGCTTCTCCCGCGTGCTCTGGTCTGAGATTCCGGCTATCAAACATTAGAGTAACATGGTCTCTTCAAATCTCGTTGGATCGACTTCACTGTATTTACAATCAGGTGCTGCTTGTAGTACACGAGCGATGAACTCGTTCACACTCTCATCTGGTTTCTGGCGGAGTTTCGAGAAGTAGTATCTAGCCGTAAAAACATTCTGACGAGCACCCCAAAGAGCACTGAAGGTTTCCAAAGCGCCGGTTATCGTAGAAGAGATTTGATCAATACGAAGTGCATCGAAATACCTTTGACCCTCATCTCCAAGAAACTGTCTCAAGAGCTTCACTTTGTTTTTCTCAGTAAGAGATACTGCTGGATTCAAGATTGGAAGCAATTCCAAGTAATCCGTAAAGGTTTTCCGCCATCTATGCCACGAGTCCAGGGAAGGTTTGTCAGTAGAGCAAGACCAGAAGACCGGTGGAGTATTTGTTATGGACATGTTGACCTCCGTCGCCAGATATCACAACTGGACTCTAACCGCAAGTACGTATTTCAACTCGTAGTGAATAAGCAAGAAGACGCGTCAGTCTGGCACACAGGGTACTGAACACTTAACGGTTTACATATGAGCACGGAACGTTAGGGTGTGTCCTTGAGTGCGTGTGTGCGTGCTTATCTACGTGTGTGTGTGTAGGGCCAATCAGGTTCACGGTCATAGTGAGCGATCATTGGTTGAACACGTAACAAATACAATGCATGGTGACGTCGTTTTATCTCGATAATTTGACCTTGAAACATCTGGCTTGATGTCAACGGTTACGACAGCAGGTTGGCACATTGGCTGACATATGCTGTTCACTTATTTATCAAGCAGTTTCAGTTCATCCATCCACTTGAGCCCCAACAAATCTAACCCCGGCTGGTCTGTCACGAACTATGTCGTCTGGATCTGTTTATCGCGGCAGTTTACCTTACAATTCAATTCAGTAAGCAAGTTTAACCTACCTCCTGAAGTATTCCGTGCCGTGTGACCCGTTTGTATGAGTGTCGGTCGCTCCAGCATGCACCACGTGTCGCGAGATATCAGGGTGATATCTGTAGCTGTGTCGATTTGGAAGTTGATTTGGAAGCCGTTAATTTTCACAATTGTGTATTTGCGCTTGCTGGCCCGTCAAGCTTGAAAGGTGCGGTGATAGATCTGGTCAAATTTGGGCGCCGGAACGATCTGGCATTGTTACACATCTTCTTGGTCGAAATTGGACGACTCGCCAGGCAACATGACTGCTTATGCCCTTTTCTGCCGCAACGGTTGTAAGTTTGAATTGAATGGGCACTCGCTTGCAAAATGCCACTCTCTACAAAACCAAGATGCAGAGGAAGGTTTAGAATTCGGTGAATCCACGTGGGTAGCTACTTTCTGGGGATTTTGGTTGGCTGCACAGACAAAAGCTTAACCGTTCTAATTGAACAACTGCTGAATCATTACGGTATCGTGCTCAAACTCGTCATGTATTGTCACTCACCGGTCACGTGCTGCAATGTGACATCCGGATTCCGTTCATTTGTGTTCCGTATTCTTGTTTGAATGTCCGCGTCTATGGATGCTTGTAGGGCACACACGTATATAAGACATTTAAGCTGATCACCTGGCATCTTGTGTACTTGTGACCGTTCAAACTCGCAATTCACAGTGCTGGGATAGTCGACCCAGTCTTCGTCTTCTTTTCTGTTATTGTCAGACACTTGTATCGGGTGTTGAACAAAGTGATCTGCTCGCCGAATATTTGCGACAGGACTGCGACCACTTCATCTAACGACAAATCGGTACCCTTTTTAGATAAGATAAATTTGGTGAATTTCTCGTGTTCGGCACCACCCAACTTCCGCAGCATTAGTCGAATCTTCTTTTCCGCTGGAAGGTTGGCGAAATTAGCCCAGCACATGTCCTTATACTTGTGGAACTAAGAAACAAACGTTATGCCGGCATCGGCGTCATAATGGAACTCACTGATCTGCTGAGTCGGGGGGTTTCTGGGGAGGGAGCACTTTCACTTGTCCTTAACCCTGGGTTTGACTGCACTGTCAGCTTCTGAGTTAGCATCTCCATCAGCTCAGCCTGGGATGCTTCATACTGCGCCTGCTGTTGCTGCAAAAGCCTCTGCAATTGTTCAATGCAGATTGCCATTTCTGGGCTCGGTTGAACTCGTGTCGCCACTGTTATAAAGTTGTACCCGCAACCGACCGGTTGGTTCACGCCTACTAGTAAATCCGCGCCCTTACGCTTGCTCTGCTTGACGTCTTGGTCAACCCGACAGGACGGAAAACAGAAGAAGACTCAGCCGACCAGAGTTGTATTAGAACCGAGAACGCTCATATTTATAAGTCAATCTCACCAATCCTCTAAACTTCGCCTGGCGGATTTGGCTGCCTGTCATTCTCGTGCGCCCACGCTCCACACTTGACTGTCCGCACCATCTGGTCAGTTTACCGTCTTTCTCGTGCAAGCCACTCTTCATCCGCCTACCCGGGGCATGACAACGTACATAATGTCTGACGCGCGACTTCAACAGCTTCCGGTCAGTGCTTGGCAACACGTATGATGTCTGATGCGCGGTTTCATCAGCTTTCGGCTGGGCCGTGACAACACGCTCGCGGGGTCTGTCCTTAGCACGCTTTGTGGCGAACGCGCGCGTTGGCAATTAGCTTTTTCGCCCACCTGTCATAATTTCACCTTGGTGCGATTGCTATTGGCTGGATGATTAAGCACAAACTTACATAACCTGGTCTGTGTCCACCGGCGGAAGACGAAAGTTAAATCCCATGATAGGACCCCGTTTTATTTTGATTTTAATCTGCTATTCGCTGAACACAACAAACCGGAAATAGAGGTTTAGTTGCGCGATCAAACCCACGGAGGCCCAGGGGAAAGCTTGAGCTTTGTGGTGCTTTACGACTGTGTTTATTTTATTTCGCGGATTGGAGAGTGCTTGTCTTTGCGAAGTCACGAAAACATGGTTATTTTGTTTACTTTATTTTACACTTCGTTCAAAATCTAACTTATCTGTGTACTCAAATTCAAGGTATATTATCGAATTTTATGTTGAATTATTTATTTCCAGTTCAGCGGGTCGCTTACCAACTCTCTTTCGAATGGAGAGTGATGAATATATGGGACGACCTGCTGCAGCACGTAGTTGAGGCAAAGTCGGTGTGGGAATTTAAGAAATTCCTGGACAAACACTTTGCCGATATAAAATATATTGATCGTACCCCAACATAACTGGTCTTTGTCCCTGGGTGACATAAGATGCAAGGTACACAGAGATACCACTACTTGCTGCTTCCAACCAGTAATCAGTAATCAGCGCTTGGACCTATAACACTGGCATGGACTGTTGGCTGGAGAATGGAAGACTGCTAAATATCTCACAGAAATCTTCAGCTTAGAATTCAAACATAGTAATCGTTAGGCTATGTAATTTGCCTCCTGAGAATGCAGTAACTGAAACGTTTGATGTACCTATACTGCCTGATGAGATGCAACCTAAATCTGTGCACACCGAGGCCTCTGTACCAGTAGGTAAGTGTCTAGTACTCGCCCACAGTGTGTTTCGGGTAACAAAGGACTTCCGAACAGTTCCATGGTGCCCGTAAGAATGTGGCGGCAGTTTGAAAATAAGAATGCGGACTGTACATACAGAAAAAGGAGTACTTTGAGAGCAGGTGAGATGAACTGTTGTACACACAAAGTACACGCTTCACACGTCCCAGACTGTAAATGAAAACGCTACTAGTGCGCCTCATATACATAGTACTGCCCTGACAGATGGACTTTACACTGTAGCTGAGAAAGTTGTCAAACCATGTGCAGTCAAAATGACTGGGCGCATGTTAAATGAAATCATCAAAACAACTGTCTATAATACCACTATCAAATGATAAGGTATCTCGAAGAATTAACACACCCTCAACTGCTGTTAAGGAGGAGTTAAAAGCCGCATCAGAAATACTCACTTTTTTCTTCCAATGGATTAATCGGCAGATGTGGCAGGACTTGCCGTGCTGATTTTGGTTGTAAGATACCAACACCATTACCGAAGAACTAGTGGCACCGAGATAATTTCATGAGCGAAAATAACATCCCATGGGACAACTACAACGGTATTTGCACTGATGGTGCCAAAGCAATGATAAGAAAGGTTGTTGGTGTTGTGACAAGTATCAACATTTTTCCAAAAAGCTGCACGAGTGGCCAGTGTATTACTCAGCAGCAAGCACCTGTCACAAGAAAAATGCCACCAAATCCCAAAACGGTCCTCGATGAGGCAGGGAAAACAGTTAAGTACATTAAATTTCGGCTTATGAACAACCGACTTCTCAAGATTGCATTACGACATAGGAAGTGTCCACACATTTTTACTGATCCATACTGAGGACAAATGGCTGTCCCCTGGTAAAACACTATTGCGTTTGTCAGTATTAGGCACAGAAGTTTTCACTTTCTTCAGCGCTTACCGTTTTGATTTACGTTTTCGGATGACTGACCGAAAGTGGTTGGCAAGGCTTGTCCATTTGTCCGATATCCTCATAAAAGCAAATATGGTAATCCTGTAACTGCAAGGAAAATCTGCGAATATATTCAATGCAAGTGATAAAATTCGAGGGCTAAAAATAAACTAAGAATTTTGGGCGATTTCTATTTGCATTGGAGATCTCGATAGCTTTCCGGTATTAAAAGACATTTTATGAGAGCTGTAGGAGAGTACATAACTCACAGTGGATATAAGGTAATTGTGTAACATTTGAAGGTCAGGTAGAAGCCTTGCCTCAGTATTTTCCAAGGAAAGATGAGGGAACATTGAAAGAATTTTCACCGATCAAGAAGTCGTTTACTTGCACGTAATATTCTTCTTCTTTCACATCTCTTCAGGATGTGATTTTCATCGCCATGATATCAAATTCTTCCCTTCAGGAAGAGTCATATAAACTCTCGCTGTCTAATTTCTGGTGTTAAATGAAGGACGAGTACCTTGTCATTGCGAAGCTAGTTGTCATCATGCTTCTCACATTTGACACAACTTATCTGTGTGAAGGTGGATTTTCGCATTTCACCTATACAAAGACAAAGTACCGCAAAAGATTTGGAAATGAACTACATTTGTGGTTGTAGTCTTTCTCAATAATAGCAAAGAGGAAGCAAATCAGCACTGCATCTCAGAAACAATTTCATCCCACACATTATGCCTTAAAGCATGTTGTTTTTCTACCTAAATCCAGCATATTTCAATTTGCGCTAACATTAATGGACACCCGCGTTAATTCAGTGTACAGCAATAAACGTTTCCAGGACACTGTATCTCATTTTCATTATATTATAGCCTAGTCCTTTAGTTAACAATATGCCAAGGGTCCGCGAGTCAAACAGTTTGAAAAACCCTGCTCTAGTGGCATCTACTTGAATTCTGTCCTCTCCATTTTAGGTCAGTTATCCACCCTGTGTCATCTATTTGGGCTATAGACGCCAGAAAGCAAAAGCTCGGGCCGAGTTCACTGCCGCTTGCTCGACAGCTATTACCACACTAATGTGCCTCGTTCGAGGCATCAGCAGTACGGCATATCGACGCTTCGCTGCCGCGCAATCACCACTAGTTGCACGTGAAGTAAGGATATTGCGAGGGTCGCCTGGTCCCTACGTTGGCTCGAACCCGCGCCCTCGGATTACAAGTCAGACTTGCGATCATTAACTCTACGGGCCGGTGTGCTTCATTCGAATCTACTACTAGTTGCAGAAAATGATATGATAGCAAGACAGTGGAGAGTTACGCGACACTGTAGAGCGATCTCAATCGGTCGTATACGGACGGGGCCATCCGAGAAACGGATCCAGTTCAAGGTGGCTATGTGCAAATTTAAGCATTCACCTGCAATGGTACAATGGTAAATTGTGAGCAAAAAGTGGATGCTTAACAAAGCCCGTAGGATGTCCAGAATGAGAAACACAACCTGATGCATGGAACACATTGATAAAAAGAAAATCGTTTTTGTGGACTCACCACAGTCTTAACACAGAGGTATGCAGGAAGGTTCAACCTCCGTCGTGCAGGTTAATTCTGGTTGTTTAACTTTCTTCTCATTATATCGTCTATTGAGACACACAAGCTATAGTTCGTAAGGTAGGTGGGTTAGGACAACGTCAAGACATTTTACACACAGCTAAAGTGGGAGTGGAAACAACGTAATTTCAGAGGGCGTTCCATGGCTGGCACACAAAAAGAGAGTAAAAGTTCCGTCAACATTCTAGCCGACTGTATTGCGTGGCTTATTTGAACTGGTGGCCACACAAATTCGTGTTGTAGCTCAGTTATAGTAGGTGGCAGAAGACGTGGTTGGGGTTCCTTAGAATATGGTAGGCAATAATAAGGTCGCCACGTAGGCGCTAGTACCGGCCGCTGTATAATTTTTGGGTCCTCAGTCTAAGTTGATAAGGAAGATTGAACAACCTTTTGACATGCTTGGTGGCTTGTCGCTGTGGAGTCTCGAGCCCTGCAAGGTCTTGACTGTGTTAGGGCTGCCAGGCCTGGATTGCGTATTCCACATGAGACCGCACCTAGGTGTTAAGCAACTACGAACAGCCAGTGGGATCAAACCGCCCTAATGCCCTCCGCAGCATGCCAACGTATTGGTTCCCAGTCTTTGACGCCTCAGATTGTTCTGAGCAGCCCAGATCAGCCTGGACTAGTATCCCAAGGTCGCGCTCCTGGGTGACTGCTTGCAGGACATGGTCTCTAAGCTTGTATGGGATGTTAAGCTGGTGGCGAATGTGACCCACCTTACACTTCCTTGAATGGAACTGAGGCCGCTTGTGAAGTGACCACCCATACGCTCTGTCTAGGTCCCGATGAGGTGCATCGTGATCTGCTGGGTCGGCGATCGTCCGCCACATAACATCGTCAGCAAACAGCAAGAAATCTGAGGCAATTAAATGTGTAAGCTTATTAATGAACACGAAAAACAGATGCGGCCCCAGAACTGATCGTTGTGGAACTGAACATTCGACATACATCGGATCGGACAGCGCACTACAAACTCTGACCTAAAGTTGCGATCCTGCAGGAAATTCCTTATCCTCCCAAGGATATGTTCACTGACTCCATAGCTTTCGAGCTTATGAAGCAGAATGCGGTGGTCCAGTCGGTCGAAGGCCTTAGAGACGTCGAGGTAAATGACGCATGTCCCTCTGCCTGTATCGGCCGCTTCCGTCCAATTATTGCGTGCAATCAGTAGGTTGGTAGTGCATGAATGTTGCCGCCGGAAACCGCGTTGTTCGGGTGCTATGACGTTGTGGCGTTCTAGATGGTCTACCCAAGTCGCAGCGAGGATTGCCTTCATCAAGTTTGAGAGCATAGGGAAGAGGAGCACTGGACGACAGTTGGCGTGTTCCGAGCAAATACCGCTCGCCTCGTGAATATCGACTTGGGGGGTCAGCAATTGTAACCTACCTTCCAGGAAAGCGACTTCGGGGTAACCGTGTAGGATGACGTCGATTGAACGAAACAGGCCGAAAAACATCGAGTAGTGTCAGTTAGCACCTTAGTCTACTACGGTTGCGTTGGGAAATTTTGACCTTCTGTCGATTCTGTCATCCAGGACTGCCGTACCTTACGTACACAAGGTTTTGATCCTTTTGAAGCTGTACAACGTCGGGCGATCAAACTCGTTAGGGGCTTGTTTCACCACTTATTCACTGCAACTGTGGTTCCTTGGATTGTATAGTTGTAACTAATTTTGTATTTGAAGAGATCTCATCATGGTATACCTAACACTGGTGAACTCCAATCACATATTCCGTCATTTATTACAACTCAGCCACAATACAAATTTGACAGTCCACCGGCTCAAACTGCCTACACGCTACAGTGGACTACATAACCCAAAAGGCGGGCCCCGCTTTGTCGAGAATAAACTATTTATTTGTTCATTTGTTTATCCCTACGGGTAGCCCGACTGACGCCCTTTCTTCCCCTTCAATTATGCTCTTCCAAAAGCGTCTTGGCGACACCCTATCCCGCTGGCATAGTGTGATATTGCCCATTGCACTTGGATGAGCTAATGCAATCCAAATAATGTGCTCACCGGTTGTCTCGGAAACCTAGCAGTGAGTAAATCCAAATAAGTGTTCATATGCATCATTCGGTGACTCAATTTGTCTATGTACAAGTGATATATATATATATATATATATATATATATATATATATATGATTGGCAACATCCGGTTTCGGATTTGCCTGTCACTGTGGCCAGCCACAGGACGCCTGCGCCTACAGGGGGACCATGGATGGCTTGCGCTGCACCACCCACAGCTCCAACCACGCACCGCATATCTAGTATAAACCCGAGGGAATAAGACCGGTAGTCATGTGGATGGGAGCCACGTTTCATCAACGGAGCTGGTCCACACTCCTTCACAGGCAAACACAAGCACGCTGTATTTGGGAATCAAGCGCACACAAGGCCGTGGCTGGACCGTAGTCCGCTCCACACTGAGTGCATGGAACCAATCTTTGATCCTAGCATGGCCACAAGGACCGTGCACCCCGTCCCCTCCAGCAACGACCAACTGTCTCCTGGAGCCAGTATGGACGAGGTAGTGGGTAATAGACAGGTAGGCACCTTGTCAACATGCACATCAAGCGCAGCCACACCTGGGATGTCAAACAACAGCCAATCATTCGAAATGCCGATATCGAATAAAGTAAACGCATATGACGACATAAATACTCGCAAAATGAGCATATGGAAGAAATTGGTTAAATGTGAATACGCGAAAGGTACAAAATGTCCGAAAGTTATTTAAAAAATAACACGCGATAAAATTACGCAAGTTTACCCCAATTTGCATGAGCGACGTGTGTAAGTTGGGAGAAGATTAGCAAGTAGGCAGAACAAGAAAATAAAATGTAATGAATTTTATCCACATTAAAAAGACCTAGTTTAAGTGTAAGTTGGTTTAGCCCAACTGCGGTGAAGAAGCAATATGAATGCGACATATATATATATATATATATATATATATATATATATATATATATATATATATATATATATATATACGAATAGAGGTGATGCAATCGAAACTATCTAAGTCATGTGATGGTACGATTGTGATGAAGGGAAAACCGAACGTAACACAAAGAAATCCGTGGTTTCCTCAGAGGGCAATATACCACTCATTTGCAAAGAACGAAGTCGAGACAAAGAACAGTGACTTATAACGGGAAAAAGGCATTCTTTGATAGGTCCAGTAGGAAGACTGGAGTGGTAATTCTAAAATGATTATTTGAAGTGATAGGAAAAATGGAAAATTCTGGTTTGAGGTGACTCACCGAGTTCTTCTCATGCACACCTGCTGGTCTGCTCACCGCTACGTAACGGAGAGGGCTGATGAACACAGTGTTTGCGTTACCTCATTTTTAGATAAAAATAGACTACGTCGCGTAATGTAACTGGGATAGAGGGTTGTCCAATGGTTTCTTACAAAGCGTTAATGTGGGGTAGGAAGCAACTTGAGAAGGAAGAGCATTCCATTGTCTGGATAGCCGAAGAGAGAAAAAGTTTTGTCAACGTTCAAGTCGAGTGTTGTGTGTGGTCAGTTTCAGCTGGTGGCCTCTCAAGTTGGTATTGTACCTACCTTGCGACAGGTCGCGACAGATATGACTGGGCTTAATCAGTATTTAGTATACCATAAAAAGTTTCCTCACAGACTCCGTTATTTGCCGGTGTACTAACTTAGGGCTTACAGCCTGCGTTGTTAGGAGATGTGAAATAGTCCTCCAACGATTTGTGTCGCCCTATGTTTTGGAGCTTCGAGCGCAACAGCATTGTATTTGCGTCATATTCGCCAGGCCCGGATCGCGTACTTCACTTGGGGCCTCAGGTAGGCGTACAGTATTTGTGGAAGGAATCATGACCCGAACTTCCCGAACGTGCTTCGTAGAAGGCCAAAGGGCTGACTGGTGCTTTTCAGTGGCTTTTCGGCCTGTTTCGTACTACAAAGGTCGTTCTATACAAGTATTCCTGGGTCGCTTTTTGCGTAGCATATTGCAACAGCTACTCTCCAAGTCGATCTTTGTGAGTACACTGAGGAGGTATGCGCAGAACTTCGCATTTCGTCAAGTTAAACTGAAGCCGGTTTTCGGAGGACCATGTGTAAACCCTGTCGAGATCTGTTTGCAATGCCGCGTGGTCATCCACTGTCTGGATGCCGTGCCAGATCATGTCGTTCTCTGCAACTAGTAAGAAATCTGACTGGAACACCCTAGCAAGATCGTTAATGAATACTAGAAACCGACACGGTCGCAGTACCGATCCCTGAGGCACACCACGTTGGACTTCAGTTGGGTCGGGGATGGATCAGCGGACTCTCACAGTCAGCTGAGGTTGAATTAGGAGGTTGCTTATCTAACCGATTCCAAAGCTTCAAATCTGTGAGGAGAATTCGGTGATTAATGCGATTGAATGCTTTACAGAATTCCAGGTATACGACGTCAACTCCTTGTCTGGCATCGGCTGACTTCGTCCACCTTGCTCGGGCACGTAACATGCTTGTGATGAAGAACTGATTTCGATAAATCTGCACTGCTGTAGCACTAAGATGTTACTCACAAGGTATTCCATAAGTGTCTCTGCAATTATTCCTTCCATAAGTTTACATAACACTGAGGAGGGTGATTAGGCTGTAGTTAAAATGTGCTGCACGATTCACACTCTTGAAAATAGGAGTAACCATGCCCTGTTTTCACTTGGTTGGAACTTGCATTTGCTCGAGGCTTCTTTAGAGGAACCGGGCCAATAGTTCGGCAAGGTTCATGGTTACTGTTTTAAGGCCTACGGTCTGATATTGTCCACACCAGGGGAGCTGTGCACACGCAAGGACAGTAGCCTTTTCATCATATCTGCAGCAGTGTAGTATACCTGGCTTAAGCCTGGGGTTGGGGTGAGCTGTATTATGTACGGGTGATGTGACTTAGGGGACCCCGCCCCGAAACTTTAACAAATGTAGCCTACCCACAAGGCAGCTGAGATAGTTGAGGGAATCACATCCAGTGGGAGTCGATGACTGATTACTAAATTCATACACCTTTTGTTTGGTCGGTTGCCCAGCAAGTGCCTAGTCCTCTTCACGATTCCACTAAGAGGGTATTGTAATACGGTGCTCCAACGGAGTGAAGCAAGGGGCAGTGACTTTATTTAGTGTTGAGTCACATCCGCTACGTCACAGTGTCGTTAAAGACATTGGTGAATTTTTGTAGTGAAATCGCTTATCCAGGCGAAAACCCGCGGCGTTCTGGAATGCAGCGGACGAACCATTCACTGGAACGGGATAATCCCTAACCACCCCGCCGGCATCAAAAGGAGGTTGTTCGGAAAGTCAGCCCGACTCACCTGAAGCCCGAAAGTCTTACTTTTCCCTGTCAATATTCCTTTTGGTTCTCTGGCCATCCTGTGGGACCTGTCAAGTAGTCGCCTTTTTACACGTTATAAATCAAGGTTCATTGCACATTGAAAGTTGCCCACTCCAGAACCACAAGTGGAGTCTTGTTTCCTACTATTCTAACCTGAAATATTGGCTTCAAACATTCAACTAGGCTATCTGACGCTAGGCCCATGGACATACAGCAGTGAGCACATGATAAACCGAAGGATGTGAAAAAGTTATCAGCCTCGTGGAAAAGCTAGCTTGGGTTTTGTAGCTCCTCCTAGAAAGCCTCGAGACTTATAATGGGAAGTAGACAGACATTTTACTGCGTGAGCTATCTCCTAGATCCACCCATCTATTTCACTCTCTCAATGCCTCAGACTATACCGACAGTTTTGTGCTAGCTGCCCTTATCTGTTCAGCACTATTTAGCATTATCACTTCCATCACGCCACCCTGGAGTACTTTAACTACCAGTTGTCTCAAACGAATTTTATCACCTCAATTCACATCGATGACCGGTGCCCGAGTGGCCTGCATGCCTGACTTGCAAGCACAAGGTTGCCGGTAGGAATCGGCTTAGGGGCGGGTGTCCTCGCGGTACACTCAGCCAACTCGTGACTGGTGGTGTTCGTGCGGCAGCGAAGCGCCGTTACGGCTACAGTTGGCACATTATTATTAGTATTAAAATGGGTTTGTTAATGCACTGGCTGCCTCAGTACCGTGGCCTTGAGAATAGATTGGTGTAGGGCGCATGTCCTAACTATCCACTGACGTTTACTCTCCAAAGAGTGGACCAATATTTTAATGTATTACTGTATCAACATACCCTACCAAAGTTCATTACAACTTTTCCCGCCGTTTGCCTGAATCTATTAAATTTGGGTGGTGTTACTATGGCGGCAAGTTGTTTAACCGACTGCGTGAGTTAGTCGAATGTCAGTAGAGTTTAAGTTACACAAGTGTTCAATGAATGCTAACAATTCTGTTTCGTACACAGTGGAGAATTAAAAATTAGGATGACCCACTGGCTTTAGTTTATACAACCCATACTACACCAATTTGCGTGAACTTCGTTTATATCCTAATAAGTGTCGTTTCTTAAGCTGACGGTACAAGATTCATTTTAGATCCACAACATTTGGCCAGTGACGTCAACTCGGGTCTGGCAACTTGTATCCGCATATGCTGCTCTATGGTGTTACAACCTCGCTTTGTCTCAATCAGCGGATGATCACCGATTAAGAGAGTGGTACGCGCTAAACGCCCTTGTTGGAGTTGCATCAGCAAAGCGGTTGCAGCATGATTACTGTCCTGCCGATGTGGCGAAAGGAAATTCCCAAGAACATGCAACATCTCACTTAACATCCCAAAACGATTTTCTCTCAGCATCTGCTTTTCTGCCCGATGAGCTCAACATTAGTGTTTACGAACAAATCTGCCGCATAAGTCTTGGTTTACTCCCAACTGTTGAACCGTGCACTAACCACGAATTTCCTTTCATACACAACGTTCACGATTTATGTGAGGAAGATCAGCCCATTGACTTACTCATTTTGATTAGTTCCAAAATGGTCAATTTTGAGCAAAGGGAGGTCGTTCGTCGGCTTTGGGGAAGCAGCGAATGCTGGTTAGGCGCTCAAGTACGCCATGCCTTTTTGCTCGACATTCAAGCTGGAGCCATGCTTCCTGATCCCGGTGTAATGGAAGAACAAGAAATATACAACGACATAATACAACAGCAATACCCGGTTAGCTCAGAAAATGTCACATCCTACAGGTTGCTACTGGGAATACAGTGGTCGCTCGCATTCTGTCCTCAAGCGAAATGGTTACTGTTTGTGAACGAGGATCATTTTGTCAATCCATACAACACCATCAGCTTTTTGCTCTCTATTAGTGAAGCAATGCGACAGCGTCTCGTGGTCGGTTCAGTATGGTACGAACCGACTGAGAAAGTGGTCGAAAAGGTGTTGTTTAAAGCAACAACAAAGCACGAGCCGAAAGAACGCTATCCAACATTTGTTGCTACATCAGCCATGTTTGTCAGCCCTGTATTGGCTCCAAGCATCTACCTAACCATGCGGTACACTGAATTGGCCACACATCCAGACTTATTTTTTGCTAAGGTGTTGCTCAGGCTGTTCCTGTTACCTGCTCACTTTGATGATATTTATGCCCATGATCGTAAGCCAATTGCGGAGAAGTTGAAAGAACGGGCAATTGTTTTCCCTTGTGGAGGAAGACATAATCAAACTAAAATGTGGGCACGGCTAAAATGTGATAAATATTGTTAGCAACTAACACCACCAGGCTGAAAGTAAGGATGAAATGGAGTTTGCCTCATGAAATAGATGTGTTATGTTGATTAGCCCAATTCCATGGCGGTGTGAAAGAAAGGAAAAGCACAAATATTCAATGTTTTCCAGCTTACGCAAAAAGCAAAATAAGATGGACGACATTTTGTGATACGACTTTGTCTCTTATTCGGCTGCAACTCTTCCGCGCGATGTTTATCAATCGCACGCTGAATCTTGACTGTCTCGTATGTCGACTTTTTGGTTTTCATTTTATGTAACTATGTCGGAAGTATACGTTTGCACTATGTTACTGCTAGCTCGAAGAAGCGAGCAAGCGTTCCGTGAAAGACTGCAAACCCTAGACGCCAAATGCATATTTGGTACGCACTCCGTGTATATTTTCATTTACCAAAGTTGAGAGATGAAAACCTATATGAATCACTTACCTTGATGGATAAACTATCTCATCTACCCCAACAGCTGGCCGGTGGTCGAAATGATTACGCGCTTTCCTGGTAGTCCGAAGGTCGCTGGCTCGAATCCGCGTAGGTACCGTTGACTTCGCGCGACTGTTAGTGTTCGCGTGGCAACGTAGCACCAGTGCGATGTGGCCCAAATAACGTCGAAGTATCACCGGTCCTCCAGCTCTGCCTCCACTGTAGATCTCAATGAACACTGAATGACCAATGATTTTATTCGGCTTAAGAAGCATTACTTTACAAGCCCTGTTTGGTGGTCTGCTAGGTTAGCGAAAAGGTTAATGAAAAAAGCAGTTAATAGTTTTACGGTGAAAATAGTGGACTTATCGTTTTTGATTCAGTAGCTTTGCACCCCGAGCGTTTCCATAGCTTCAATAGATGAAAAAAGTAAATCCAAGATATCTCCTGGAAGTAGAATGGAGAATAGCGTCAGGTAACAATATATAAATGGCGGAGTGCGTCATCCAACCGACTTTTAAATATGGCTAGCGTGGGTGCTGAAACTACAGATTCAGGGAGAGCATTCCATGGTTGGCACACACGAATGGAAACAAAGTCTCTACGACATGCCAGGTGGCTGTACTGTTCTGCCAATTTCAAGGAGTGGCCTCTAACTTTGGTGTTACTGCTGAGTTGCAGTAAAGAGCGGCACACATGATTTGGATTGTGTAAAATCAAATACATCCTAAGCAAGTCGCCTCCTAGTAGGCGATACCGCCCACTGAATACTCCTAAACGTTTCAGCCTCTGCTCGTACAGAAGGGTGGCGCATTCCAATGACGTATTTAGAAGCCCGACGTTGAGGTTGCTCCATTGCAGTAAGGTCGTGCTTCAGCCATGGCTGCCGGGCTTGGATTACGTATTCGACGTGGGGACGAACATACGCATTCAGCATCGGTCTGAAAATAGTGGTGTCTAGTTGTCCGAACGCCCGTCGTAGCAAGCCGACCTGCTGGTTACCAGTTTTCGAGACTTATGCGGATTGCATGCAAGAATCCAAGTTATCCTGAACAAGGACGCCAATGTCGGATACGACGGATGACCGCTGCAGTACTTGCGTTCCTATCTTGTAGGAATAGGTATCTGGTGTCGTATGGAGAGTAGCTTACATTTGTCCACGTTGAACTGTAACAGATTTCGGGTGGACCAAGCATGTATCGGATCTAGGTCACACTGACCACCACCATCAACAGCAGTACATCAGCCATTTGAACTGATGCTTCGCTGCCATACAACCATGACGACCTATGAAATAAAGAATAAAAAGAGAGAGAAGGGGGACTTACCTGAAAACCTTAATGCCTTAAGCAAACATCCGGGATCAAGGCGCCTACACCTTGTGTATACAACATACCGTCACAAACAGCTGGCTATCGTGCAAAGATAAGGCGGCATCGGCGAGACAGCTTCCTTGCGGCTTTCACTGCCACGCGCCATAATCGGCCGTTACGCCGCAGATAACTCAACACCAAACACACTTTAAACAGGCAATCCGATTAGGAGACGGTAGCAGATGCGCCACTGGTGTCTACTGCGAGCCATGTCCTGTAAAGTCTCGAGCCAAGCACAAGACGAGTCACGTGGACTCCAGCCCAGAAGGCGAAACGGACCAACAGCACCCAGTTTGGTCGTCAGTGACTTCATTTCCCGCTGCCAAGTCAACTTCTGTCCACCTCGAGCCTTACGTTACCCTACACCTGGCAGACTAAACAAGGCCCTCCTAGGTAAGCGGTGACCAGGTATACGTAGCACGTGCCTGAGCCAACGCAACATATTCAGTGCTATCTGTTGTTCTAGGAAGCTAGCACGATAATCACCACGTAGTACTCGCCTACGCACGTCATCGTTGCGGACACACTGGTGCTATCCGACACCAGCAATGCTTCGTAGACAACAATGACCAAAGACATGAAGACGCCTCAGATCTTCAGACCGAATGGGCCAAGTCTCACTACCATATAGCAGAACGGCCCTCACTGTGGCCTTGTATACCCGGCCTTTCAGACGGAGGGAAACTCCCTTCTGTAGCCAAAAGTGCCGCAGGTCTAAGAAGGCAGGTCTAGCTTTTGCAATGCGTGAGTTGACGTCAGTTTCTATGCGTCCATCATTGCTGATGCAGCTGCCAAAATAAGTGAAATGATCAACCACCTCGAGTTTCTCGTTACAAAGCGTCAAGGGGTCATCAAGTGTCTGGTGGTCCTGCAGCAACACTTTGCTTTTTGAAGGTGCGAAGTGCATACAAAATAATGGGGCCACTCTGGACAGGCTATTCAAGGTTGGTTGTTCCGCCCCAACATCGTCGAAAAGCAAGACGATATCGTCCGCATAATCTAGATCAACTAACCTTTCCCCAGGCAGGTCACACTGAAGTATATTCTGATCGTCATCCGCCTGAATCCGGCACCAGATCTTGATGTCGTCAGCAAAAACACCAGGAAATTTTAAGTGATATTCCGTGCTAGGACATTGAAGAATACCAAAAATAACCGTGGACCTAGAACTGAGCCCTGGGGCCCACCAGACTTGACTGATATGGGTTCAGATAGGGAACTCCGGACTCTCACCATTAATTGTCATTTTAAGAGAATGTTGCCCATCCAGCTCAAGAGAGGGTCACCGATTCCGTAATATTGATGCTTGGAAAGGAGAACCCGATGATCTAAACGATCGAACGCCTTCGACAAATCCAAGTAGATCACATCAACATCCTCTCCAGCGTCAGCTTCAACTACCTCGCGCGATTAATAACTTGGTCGTGCATAACTGCTCTCGACGAAGGACATGTTGCACGGGAGCAATAATGTTATGATATTCTAGATAACACACCAACGCATCGGCGACGATAGAGTCCATGGCGTTGGGTAATAGATGGAGAAGAGTCACTGGGCGGTAGTTTGAGGGCTCCATCTTGCTTCCGCTTTTGTGAATCGGAGTTATTATTCCAAGGTTCTACATCGTAGCAATCGGGTTCTGCTCTGAGCAGCGCTGGAATAACTGTGCCAAAGGGTTTGCCAGTTGACTTTCTGCTGCTCCCAGTACCTCTGGACGAATGGTGTCGATGCCCGGGGAGCTGTGGTTACGCAGATACGTCAGCTTTCGCAAAACAGCTTCAGCAGTAAAAGTGATGTGGGTGATTCATGGAGGCGGGAAAACAAAACTTGGAAGATGGTCTGATGGTAAGGCCCTCTGAAATGTGGGAGCATATTGCGTCTGCAACGCGTTTGCTGCTTCTATGACTGTTCTAGTTGGACCATCAGTCGTCCGGAGAGGAGGAATTACCTGCCTCACCTTGCGACGTCCATTGACTCACTTGTACAGCAGTTTGTGGTTAACACTGAAAGTTTTCGACATACTCTGCCGATATACAACTTCGTCATCTCTGAGCAGTTGTGTGCAGTGGTTACGATGGTCAAGGTGTAGCGAGAACGACACGACAGGGGGGGTAGACGTTTATTGCACACCGAAAATGGGCACATGAGGGTCTCGCGC